TATATATATATATATATATATATATATATATGGAGGTGACATCTTGGATACTGACCCAGTTTTCCATGGGGTCCTTTCTTGGACCTAGAAGTTGCCACACAGCAAAATGGAAGTTGGCAGCTCACTTATTTTTCAAGTTATCAACGTGCACGGACAAACAGTTGGAGGGCATTTCCAATTCCCTCTCTTCACTTTACGGTAGGGGTGCACTGATTGCAGTTTTCTGGCCGATCGCGATTCCTAAAAAGTCTGACCTGCCGATTGCGATTTCTAAGCGTCACTGTCGGGTGTTATAAGGTCACCGTCAATTTTCCAATCGTATTTTATTGAAAAACATGCCCTTGAACAATATCCTAGAAACAATAAACTTGTCCATGAGGTAGTGCTCTGAAATATAAATGAAGTTCAGACAATTGTTGTTAAAACTAAAAAAAAAATTTGGTAAAATCGGTTTCTCATGCAAGTATCGGTTGATTACCAATTTCCCAAAATTAAGGAAATAGGGGCCGATAAATCGGTGCACCCCTACTTTACGACCGGGGACACCTAAAACAAGCATTCCTTCAAGGAAGGTATATAGTGTCTATATTGTGCCTAATTTCACAAACTGACTATTTTTGTAGAGAAAAAATGTGGTTAGATCATGAAAACAAGAAATTTATAAAAACAAACTGGAAAAAAAAACTATTGGGGGAAAATAAAACATTTCACAGGGCACTGATTATGGGACATAAAGAGTAATAATTGTGTTTTAAATGAAAATATAAGCCAAATGGCTATAATTAGGTTGTATTGTCTTTTAATTAGGAAGCCTCACTGTGACATCGTGTTTTCAAACCAGCAGGCGGTGGTCGGTTTACGACGCTGTGAGAAGAACAAAGGACAGGAAGAGGATTTCTTCGACATTTTTGTCTTTTGCTAAAATCTACCGCCTTCTGCCCAAACCCTGAATGAACACCAGCATCAACACAATCCGGTTAAGTTACGGTTTCATCTTGCGAGGTGGTGGAACGTGATAGCCTGTGTTTTTTCTTTCTTGTGAATACATTTAGCATTATATTTTCCTGGCGTATTTTGAGTATGACAAACACAAAACTGTGACTAAATATTTCTCCTGTAATTTTAGATTTAAGTCCTATTATGTAATTTGGGAGCTTAACAAGGTCAACAACACTGTTTAGGTTTGAAATTTTTAATCTACACAGAACTATAAATGTATCTATTTGATTGGTTGTCGTCTCAGTACTTTAAATATCAAATATATTTAATTTGCAAGCACCTACTTTTAAGTATTTAAACTTTTTCCCCTCCATAAACCAATGCAGGACGCTTTAGTTCAATAATATTCTGCGCTGCCACACAGCGAGTATATTTAAAGTGGAATGGGGCAAAATGCCACATTCAAATCCCTCTGTGCCCCGGGGGCTCGTGACATTTGCAACGTCTCTGATTATTAGAATAACAGAGGAAAGGGCAGGGTGTGGCAGACCCCCCAGTGAGACTCCAATGTTTCATTAGAAGCCACGTTGGTGTTTGTTTTAACACAGAAGAAATGTCTTAGCAAAATAATAATAATAATAAAGTAGAAGTAAAAAAAAATAGGTAAAAATGTTGCAAAGCACTCCTGTACTCCCAGACAAGTCCAATAAAGATCTGATTTATGGATTTAAAATATAAATCAGATGGTTATGTAATGAAGATTAACTACAATAATCAGCCAGAAATTAATAAAAGTAGAGAAAAATCTAAAAGCATACGACTTTTCACATTAAGATCAGGCTAATTAACCTTTGATTTCAAAATGACGACTTTCGCTTTCAAAATCTAAACAGATCGATGCGGCGAGCGTTCGGAACGTCTTGGTTTTACCGATTTACATGTTATTAAAGTGCATCTACAGTAACCATCATTATTAAACACCAACACTGGATGTGTTACCAGGCAACATAAGCCACTTGTCATATTCCCTCCCACTCACGTCGAGTGCAGCGCAGCGGAGGAGATTATGTTGTTTGTACGAACAACTCGGCAGATAAACTTTCACATTTCTGTGTTCACGCAGCGGGCGCACCAGAAACAAGGCGCCGCATAAACCAAACCAGATCGGTGTTCACTGCAGGTTTAGGGTTTTAAATGTAGTTTAACGTTTGGTGCCGCACCGCCCAACAACCATCTACTGGTAGATACCAATAAACACGAGTAATGGTCCGAGAAACACAGACTCTCTGAAGAGTTGAGAGTGATGGATAAACACAAAAGTTTACTTTTGAATTACAAGAAAATGTTTTGTGCCGGAACTATTGTGTACCTGTTGTACACATTTCCACATGGTCTTAGGCTAATTATTTATAAAATAAAAAATGTTGCTATGAGTCGCACACATTCGAAAACTTCTCAGTCTAAGGACGGTTTCTTTTTTAAGCCGAGACGTTTCGTCCTTCATCCAAAGGACTTCTTCAGTCTGAGGAGCCACCAAACAAAACTGATTCCCACAAACAGCTCAATCCATAGTGGAGAAAAACAGTTTGCTGGTAATAAAAATGGCCTCCGGAGCACATCCTCTCCCCCCATTAACTCCTCTGAGACAGTCGTGCCAAAGTGGTTCAAAACACCAAAGTTCATGCTCAATAATCCAGGTATAAAATCCAACAA